AACCCTGTTTTAAACACTGGTATGAATGTATACAATACAAGTTTTGAAGGAGCAAGTGGAGAGCCTTGCCAGCTGCTAATGCTCTTTTAATTACAGACACTAATGTATATCAGCTTTTTTGTATTAAATTTTACTATTTCTGCTTTTATGTAGCTCAACATAGCAGAGTCTCAGATTTGATCTCTTTTAGTAAATAGAAGTCAGGGTAAATTTTAGGTCCTTTATTTTTAATCCATTAGATTTTAGAAATATTTGAATTCAGTCGGCTCTGGCTATTGTAAATACATTTTAGTCTATCCAAAACACATCCTGGAAAATCTGAGAGAGCACCATCACAGGTTTTTTTATATTACATTAAGAGATGAAAATGTGTTGTTTCATTTTCCAATAATTGTAGAACTAATGTAGATGATGATTGCAACACCAGTGTCTTCAGCACCGCATTGAATGTAAGCAACCCCGGACTTCACAGTGCAAGTTTCTACACAAAGTGGAGAGCCTTGCTAACAGCATAAAGATGGCTGTAGCTGCTGTTACTGCCCCTTTTATTTGTGAATTCTCATTCTGGAGCCTCAAGATGAGGATTTTTGCTATACTGGTCTCAAAAACAATATGGCAGAAATATGATGTGTGGAGGTCTGATTATGAAACCACATGCTGGTGGTTTTCAGAGAAATTTAAAGCACTTCCACATCAGTGTTTTTCCAACATGGAAGCTAGTTGGCACTGGCAGCATATCAGGTTTGCTGTGGATTTTATCTGACAGCCATTTTAAATGTTCTGTTCATGTTTCTTGAAATGACAGACTTTAAGGCTGGAGGTTAGTCCAGGGTTTTTAATAAATATTTAAGGCCAATGATCTAGACCTGCATCTTTTCTGCTGTAAATATTGACTTTGTTAAATGAAGCACTGCCTGTTTCTTGACTGCCACCTTTTCTAGTCCCAAATATTATTGAAATGCATGAATTTGTTGAAACTCAGAAATCTGGTGCAGTGTCTACACCTGCCAACTACAAAGAAGCATGAAGCCTGTCATGAAGTCAAGCTTCTTGTTCAAAGCCTTTACGTGCTTCCTCCAGGACACTGATATGGTTAGCAGATGTAGTTCAGAGGAAAGAAAAGAATTCCTACAAGGTCAGTAGATCTGTAACACAGTCTGGATTTCTTTAGGATGGAAACGTTACTTTTCAGAGAGAGCTCAGCGAAAACTACAAAAGTGGGTTGTCCATACCAAAATAATCTAGATGGATAAACTGCACCAAACAATAGTAGAAAATATTGACACAGTACTGTGCAATATTTAACTTCTACAGCTTCAGCTACACCAACACATGTGAGGAAGTGGCCTTTCTCTACTCCCCCACCCTCTTTAACTGACCCAGTGTTTGGATACAAACAGGAAGCTCCATCACTGACAAAGGTGTTCAGGTAAGGCAGGACCTGCTCCTGTCGAGCCACAGTGCTGAAATTTCTCTACATCATGTGCTGGTTTTCCTAAACTTCCTCCTTCAGTTCTGACAACAAGTCTTCGCCTGAAAGAAGGAATGATTATAAATATATGGTCCACATGGGTCAGAATATTTACCGTTATGCTTTGGCACAAGTCACTTTAGAACATTGAATGATACCAAAAAAGTAATTAAATAATGGCTAAATTGCTCACTCTTATACAGAATAGCATCACACAAACACTCTGCACGTTGGCTGCATTCATAAAATTTGCCACCAGATTTCACTTGAACATTGCTCACTGGGCAACAATGCTGAGTACATACCTGTTGAGATTCTGATTCAGATTGATGAAAGCCATCTGAGTCTTCCAGTCTGCCATTTTTGCAGCTTCACAGACTGGAACACAAAACTGGTTTAAGTATCTCTGCTGGAGCAGGTGGTTTGTTGCAGAGGTTTCGAAGCATGTGTTTAAACCATCCTGTTTTGCAGCATTAACAACCACACTGATGTCAGGCTCAGTGAGAGTTGAACATGATAACCAGTCATGTGTTCATAAACTGCATTAGGATGTACCTGTTCCACTTCACTCACCTGAACCCAGGAGAGTAGGCACTGGAAAATCTCTTCTCCTGACCAGAGTCTGTGGCTGTAGAGCAGGGGTAGGGAACCTTAGTCCTCCAGAGCCGGTGTCCTGCAGGTTTTAGATCTCATCCTGGTTCACCACACCTGAATCAAATGATTAGGTCATTACCAGCCTCTGGAGAACTTCAAGACATGTTGAGCAGCTAATTTAGCCATTTATTTCAGCCTTGTTGGATCAAGGACACATCTAAAATCTGCAGGAAACCAGCTCTTGAGGCCTGGAGTTCCCTACCCCTACTGTAGAGCATCTCTTTGTCAGATGCCGTGGAGAGAGACAAAGAAACTGACAACGAGTAGTAGATTTTAAGACGAAAGCCGTTTATCAATTCAACTGAGAGAAAAGGACCAACATCAAACTGTTAACTAACCAACATCCACCTTTAATTCCAGACAGTGTAATGTTCCAAGAGTTTCTGCCACATTCATGTAGGGAGAGCTGAAGCTCTTTTAAAGGCATGTAGGTCAATCTCAACACCTTCTTGACCAAACCATTGACTGCTGAGGGCCTTTTTAACTGAGGCCAGAGTGAGTGCAATGTGCAAGATCTTCATCTGAGTGGATCTATACCAGATTGATGTTGAAATGTGCCAAAGAGATTTAAACAGATGCTCTACACCCAACCATCTGATTCATGCTTCCCAACAGCTTAAACCAGTTTCTTCAAACTGGACTGAAGTGGACTCCCTGTTCAATTGTGGAGGGAGAAAGCAGTGTCAAGATTTCAGTACAAACACCATCATCTGTGCCCACGCACATTCAACTCTCAGCAATCAGCAGCAAACAATCCTGCAGACCAACAGCCCCAAACAGGCTATGCATGCCAAATCTTTTCAATTAACAGGGCAGCTTATTGTGCACATCCACCAGTAAATGAAGCTTCTAACTTCACTTCAGCAATTATTTAACCGTCAAGGCCTACCTCCGTGTCTGGATCCACATCTGCTGACTTTAATCCTCTCCATCCTTGATGCCATGCTCCATGTTGAGGTTCTTCCATAGATGGATTTTTGTTGGCAAATTTAAGCAACTTCAGGATCAAATGAAAAGTTGCTGAGAAGGTGAGACTGGACCTGAATACTTTTGTGACGCCTTCCACAAAAACAGTGATTCACTGAGACAGAAAAGAACTTTAAATCTTTAACAATAAAAGAAGAACACTAAGGGAAACAAACTAAAGCGAAGCACGCAAGAGAACCAAAAACTCAGCAATCCTCTCTGCTCCAACTGACACTGCATGAACAGGTGCCTAAAATAAGCAATCAATACCGCCCAAATCACATGACCCACCATAAACTATCACAAAATACTTTCAATACAAACCTCTTAAACATAGCCATCAGAAATGACACAGTTAACAACAGCATGAAATCTGTATATTAAGTTCAGACAGGCCTCTTACAATCATGATCTACAATATTTGGTGGGATTGTTGAAAAGTGAGTGAATCTTTCCGAAATCTTGCTGCCATGTTCTTCTTCTTTGGGTTTGGCAGGCTAGATGCATCACTGGTGTGTTACTGCCATCTACTGTTCATTATTTCCCAAGTCAGTCTTCTTCTGATTAAAAAGGCTGGACTCAAGCTAGAAGCACAAAGTCAGCCTCAGATCCCTCCATTGTCTTATATAGACTAGCACTGTGTAGATATTGTAACTGTCTTTGTTTTAGTGCAGCAGTGCAGGTTCAGAAGTGTGTGCACGTTGAACACAGTTTCTCCAGCTGATCCAAGCTCTCTGAACAACTTTCTTCATTGATGGAAATACTTTTTGCACTCAGGATTTTTCTGACTGTATTGGTGCTGCCATAGTCACATTTGCCATCCTGGTGTTTTCCTGTGAGAGCCAGCCCACTCATGAATCCATGGCAGCCAGGTCTCAGTCTGATAAATATAAGTGAGTCTCTTCTTTTGCCAATAAACAACATTCAAAGTGCGACCTTGAGAGAACATTTAGGGCCTTTAGAATCCCTGAAGGAGAATGATAGACTGCTTTGAATTGAAAGAAGACAACAGAAACTACAATTACTACTTTTACAACTGAGGTGTGCAGAAGAGCATCTTTGAATGCACATCAGCAAGATGCAGCAGAAGACCACACCAAGTACCACTCATGTCAGCTAAATACAGGAAACTCGAGCTACAGGTCAAAAAAACTTGGAAAGTTGGACAACAGAAGATTGGAGAGATGTTTTCTGGTGTGATGAGTTTCAATTTCTGATGTAACATTTGAATTGTCAGAACTGACTGTGTGCCATCTTCTGCTGAATGCTTCAAGAAGGATAAGTCATGTCACAAAGCTCTGACCATCTGGAGCTGGTTTCTTCAACATCACAAGGACTTCTATGGGCTCAAATTGTGGTCATAAATATTTTGTACTTGTAAATCAATTTTGTATGTTTAAAATGAATTTGTGTGTGCCAAGTACAAAACTGGTTTACAAGTACAAAATATTTATGACCACAATTTGAGCCCATAGACTTCACTGAACTCAAATACAATGGTGCAGCTTTAGGATGTGGTGTAACAGAAGTTTCACATGATTGATGTGCAGCCATCTAATTTGCAGCAACTGTGCCATGTTGTCATGTCAACAAGGACGAAAATGTCTGAGGAGTGTTTTAAGCTTGTTGTTGAATGTAAATCATGACTCAAAGAAGATCTGAAGGCAAAAGAAGATCCAACCTGGTGCTACCAAAGTGTGACTAATAAAGTTGCCATGTTCTTTATAACATTTCTTGAAAATGTGACATCATCAGCAGGAATATTCTGGCTGTAATTTCTTCAGAGGTTGACGGCACTGTAATCGAACACACCAAGTTTGTTTGTAACATTTAGATGATAAACTCAAAGTATTTGAGCAGGCATGAATGACTTCCTGTCTGTCATAGTTTCAGATATACAGTGTTAGATTGGGTTGGGCACCTCTGGTGTATTATCATCATCTAATAGCTGAATGTACAATATCAATCCACGGCCACTCAGGTTAATGAGTGTATTCATTAATCTGTATTCCTCTTGTATTTCATTGCTCAAATTCAGGAATTGAAAAACACCTTATGTCATAATGCTTTTCAGAAACTCTCAAAGACAACATTACATGGATTATTAGACTCAGTGCTGCTCATTTATTGACTTGATTTTTCATTCCTGCAGCTTCGCTGTTCTGACAGCTCCACTCAGGCTCTGCTTGACACCACCGTGCTCCTGCTGCAAGGCGCCTGGTTTCTGGTACGCTTCCCAGTCATGATCATGGTGGCACTGTGAGCAAGAACCTGGCAACCTCCAGCCACCATGCCCCATCGTAACATTCCTTGACAGATCCCAACACAGCCCTGGTACAAACATACATGGCCATCAGCAGCATCCTACACTTTAAATGAGCTGACTTCAGGTGTTCAGTAAGGGGAAGATTTAATAACATTGCACGTTTCATTTCAAGACTCTGTAGTCACAGAGCAGAGAGTAGAAAAGGTGACAATAAAATGTTTTTGGAGCTTTACCAAGTAATCAGCATCAGACTTGTTAACAATTAAAATAAAACCCAACATTTAGAGTCTTAGGAAGATAATCACAGAGGCAAAAACTTTCCACTGTATCGTCTCAGGTTTCTTAAAATGAAGTCTGAGGTAGGGTTGTTATTTGAGGTATTCCTGGAAAAATCTTTGATCCAGGTCCAGATTCTTTAGATGAACTTTAGTGTTTAGTCATACTTCCAGCCTCCTTTATTGACGTTGCCTGGTGGCATTGACCAGCCAAACATCCGGGGCGAGGTGGGGAAGGTCCATTGAGGTCCAGCTGCAAAATGGTCCACAGCATGATGATAATATGGACCATTTGTGATTGAGTTTACCTCCAGGTGCTGGGTATACAACTCCCTGAGTGGGGGCTGTCCCTCTCCCTGAAATTGAACCACAGATTCACCGTCAGTAAAACCAGAATACTTCTTTTAAATTATTGACATTACATTTCATTAAATACAATCAATTCCCCAGATAATGACAGAATCAGAAACAGGGCTTTTCAATAATTGGAGATACTTACATGAAGTGGGACGCCCTGATTCACATGCTGAGGATGTGACCTCCTCCTAAACTTACTCCGTCTGTTTTGAAACCAAGTTTTTACCTAAAGATAGAAGAAAACAGAAAACATTTCATGAGTACAATGGACCCGAAATTCAATTTCTTAGATTCTAACAAGTTGAAAAACACTCACCTGTTTGTAGGTCAGTCCTGTCATCTGTGCCAGCTGTTTCATCTCTCTTGGCTCATAGTAATGTTTCGCATTAAAGTGATGGACAAGAATATTCAACTGTCTCTCTGTGAACACCACCCGGGCCTTTCCTTTAGGTTTCTCTGGAGCAGTGCTGGGATGGTGCAGAGTGGCAGTGATGTTGCCATCCTGGCTTCTTGGGACAGCAAAATCTTGTTTCTGCTCTGAGACTGAACTGGAAACAGCCTCAGAGGTATCAGTAGTTTTGTTGATCATCTCTATTTGTAGAGCAGTCTCTGCCCATGTAGAGAGTTCTTCCAAGGAAAGACTCCCTTCAGGGCCGCTGACATATCTCCTCAAGTCTGTGAGGGTAAAGACACAATAGGACAAGTAAGCACAAGTCTATATGGTCCACATGGGTCAGTTACTGATATGTTTTGGCACGACTGACTTTCTAATAGAAATAATAAAAAAAGTTAAATTGATAAGTCTTGAATCCCAAAAGGTCTCAGATTGAAGAAGTCACTCGTTTGAGTGACAAAACATTTCTTCCATTGAAAACATTACATCCAGGTGAACTAAATCAACCTTTAAGGATTTACTTACCTGATGACTGAGCATCAAGACAATGCTGAAGCTGTTTCCAGCTCCGTCATGGAGGAGGAACTGGTTTTTGCTTCCCCAAGAAACCAGGAGGGCAGCAACACTGTCACAAGT